TGTAAGATGTTTATGGTTCCTAGATAGCACACGTACATCACGGAGACGTCTATTTGATGTGTGTGTTTGCTCATCTGCAATACGTCTATAGGACGTTTCCTGTCAGATGTCATATAGACATCTAGAAAATGTCTGTAAGATGTTTATGGTTCCTAGATAGCACACGTACATCACGGAGACGTCTATTTGATGTGTGTGTTTGCTCATCTGCAATACGTCTATAGGACGTTTCCTGTCAGATGTCAAATAGACGTTTAGAAGATGTCTTTAAGATGTAATGATTTAGAATGTATGTTAAACTGACATCTTAAAGATGTCTATCAGATGTTAGTAAACAACAGATGCTTTCCAGATGAAGTGATCTTTAACAGACATTTTGCAGACGTACGTGTGCTATTTGGTATGTAAAACGGCCCTTTCTAAGATGTTTATCAGATGTATTTACACAGCAGATGTTTTCCAGATCTCCGGATCTTTAGCAGACATCCTACAAACGTACAGTACCTGTGCTTTGTTCATGAATCAACTGGTGTTTTTGATTCACTAAGTCGGTCCATAAAAGTAATTTGTTCGTGATTCAGACTACAGCTGTGTGTCTTTGATTCACTGAGTCGGTCCATAAGAGTAATTTGTACATATATTGGACTACACTGCTGTGTTTTTGATTCACAGTTGGTCCATTAGAGTCATTTGTTTATGAACAATGTTTGTTTATGTTTTTGAGTCACTGAGTCGGTCCATAAGTGTAATTTGTAAATTAATCGGACTACACATGTTGTGTTTTTATTCACCGAGTCAGTCCATAAGAGTCATTCGTTTTTTAATAGGACTACACTGGTGTGTTTTTATTCACTGAGTCGGTCCTGATAGGACACGAACATCTCAGAGACGTCTATTTGATGTCTGCATTTACACAAGAATGTGTAAATGCAGACACATTTGTCTGTGTTTTACCGTAGATTCACTGAGTCGGTCCATAAGAGTCATTTGTACATGAATCAGACAACACAGGGGTGTTTTTATTCACTGAGTCGATCCATAAGAGTTACTTGTTTGTGATTTGGACTATGTGTTTTTGATTCACTGCGTCAGTCCATAAGAGTCCATAAATCGGACTACGCTGGTTGCACTGTTGACTTAGGCTATGTTGCTGATTCACAACAAAGGCTTGGCTCAAAAGAGTCATTTGTTCGTAAATTGGACTATATGTTGCCCGGAATTTGTTTGTGTTTGTATTTGCAGCCCACAGGGTCATGTCTATAGGCTTCACTTTTGACTGTTCTTGTGTAAGACACTGCCCTTGTGTAACTTCTTCTTTCCATTATGCTATGTGTACATCGTGGACACACCTAGTCAAAATAAGAATTAGACCTGGGACACATTGGTACACTCGAACACATGCACATTCGAGCACATGGCACACATGCACATGGCACACTCGAGCACATACAGTACATTTGCTCACACACATCTTCAACTTGTTACTATACATTTCTTGATGAGGTTTGACCTCTGAATACTGTGATTGGATGCCCAGGATATCCTGGATGTTATTCCCTGATCGTGTGTTTATGACCTATATTCCTTAATGATGTTTTATAAACAAAGTTCGGGAGGAGCACGTTCAAATAATCATTCCAATCAACTGGTCATCAAACAATTACCATGTCTACCCTATCAGCACGAGAAGGAGCATATAAATATTCACTCTGTCAACTTACCTAACATTCCTTGACAGTTTCAGCATCCCTCCACCACCCCGACTCCTCACTCTTGGCTTATCTTATTTATTTATTTCACAGCCAGGAATACGGGGGGAGTGCTCTGGGTTCGGGCCGAATACCTAACTCGGAGCCCTCTCCTCGGACAGCACGCCAAATACGCATTTATTCTATCTGACTTATTTGTAAGTGTGAACTCGTGAAATAAAGTTAATGGTCCCACACTGCATCTGTGTCTGCTTGATCCTTCTCCCGAGATATCTCGCTCTGCTGCTGCTTTGTGTTTTGTTTTGCATGGTTTTGATCTCTACAAATCGATGCACAACTAATATTGCGTATGTGCGAGAATCTTTAGGCCTACTCTTTTTGACACAACCCCAAACTGGGAGAGCCAAGAGGACACGTCTACATCGTAAAGAATATGGTCTGAATATGGAAAGTTTGTAAATGTAAAATATATCTATACAGTTACTTAGATGAGATTGTGAACGCATTGCCTGTTACATAGCTACATTAACCAAACCTTTTTGTTGTTGGGTCAATTCTCTGGGTCAAGAACAGATTCTATTTTTTTTTTTATTTTGGCCTACTATTAACAAATATCAATAATAACAACAATAGGCTACTTATATATATAGCTCCTTGCATTGTGCTTTTACAGGGAAAACTGTTAACTTGAGACATGTTTACCTGAGTTTCCATAGCAACCGGACATGATGATCAGTGGCTCAAAATCATGGGAGATAAAACAAACAAGCTTTTCAACCAAGTAGGCCTGAGGTTAAGAACCAAGGGCTTATCAAACACAAAACAACACTCTCTGTAAAACATCTGTCTCGCCTGGCTACATACTGAATATCTTACAAATATATAAAGTATAAAATTAAGTAATTCAATATGGAAGTGTAAGGCCTGAGAAAAGACAGTGTTAACAGACAAGCATGTTCCCTGTAAAGCGAAATTGAATTAACTCTTCAAATGAAGGCATTTCAGCTTCCAAAAAAAGCTCAAGAATGATGTTTGTGCAACACAAAGGTCTATTTGTCTCTTAACTGGATGATCAGTCTAGGATGAAGTAAACAACTGCTGTGATCTCTCTCGTTTTCTACTGCAGCCTCACTTTACAGGTTGAAATATTTCTTAAAATTGCAGGAAATGACTCACCAAAATACGTGTTATATGTGTTTAACAGAATTTGTGAAACAACTTTCTAAGCTGTCACAAGTTTAGCGCATAAAAACGAACGGATGTTGTGGTCAATGTCAGTGCTTGTCCACTGAAGCTAAGCAGGGCTGAGCCTGGTTAGTACCTGGATGGGAGACCTCCTGAGGAAACCAGGTCTCTGCTGGAAGAGGTGTTAGTGAGGCCAGCAGGGGGCGCTCACCCTGTGGGCTGTGTGGGTCCTAACGCCCCATAGTGACGGGGACACTATACTGTCAAAAGAGCACCGTCCTTCGGATGAGACGTTAAACCGAGGTCGTGACTCTCTGTGGTCATTAAAAAAATCCCAGGATGTCCTTCGAAAGAGTCGATGTATCCCTGGCATCCTGGTCAAATTTGCCCAGTGGCCTCTGTCCATCATGGCCCCCTAATCATCCCCAACTTAATAGTCTTTATTCATACATAATAACCAAAAACTAAAAATTTTGTATGGTGTCCTTTGATAACAGTTTGCATTCTTGCTTGCATTGTTTTTATGTAGGCCTACAGTATTTTTCCACAGTCTCTGTTATAGTTATTGTCTTCCAAAAAGTTTCTAGTTGTTCCGAAAGACTTGCTTTTGATTAAACTTTTATGCAATCTATCTTTGAATCCACTAAATCCCAAATTTGTTCAATAGGATTCAAGTCCGGACTTTGACTTGGCCAACTGTGACTAAAGAGCTTACACACACTGGTGATTAACCATTACAGAAACATAAAAATGATTTTGGTATTCACCATTACTGTTAGTTTAGGGGAGCTGTGGCATAAACCTTACATTGGGTGATCTAATAAACTTGTTAAGCACTGTATATTTATCAAGATAATGAGTCATGCACTGGATAACAATAAGATGAAGTTCAACAAGGAACTAATGTGACCGGTTCTGAATATGTGTCTTTGGTAAAACAGGGTAAGTAAACCCGATTACCAAACAAAACCACAGCTTTGTTTGAGAACATGTTCTATGTGCATAATTGTTTGTGAATCATCATCATCCAGAGGATATTTGGGAAAGATTATCTTGTGATTTGCACAATGGCTAACTCTTCATTAAAAAGGTTCAATGGGGTGCTAGAACCCCAGTCTTGACTCAAAGAAACCAAAAAATGTTATGGGGAGAAATGTAGCTATTAAAGGGATAGTTCACCCAAAAATGAAAATTCTGTCATCATTTACTCACGTTACGTCGTTCCAAACTCATAAGACTTTCGTTCAGCTTCAGAACACAAATGTTTTTGATGATCATCTTTTTGATGATATCTGAGAGCTTTCTGTCCCTCCACACGCAACTATTTGACGATTCAAAAAGTTCATAAAGAGATTGTAAACCTAATCCATATGAATTGAGCGGTTTAGTCCATATTTTTTCACATTTGAACTAAACCACACAATTCATATGGATTAGTTTTTACGATCTATTTATTAACTTTTTGCATCGTCAAAGTGGTAGTTGCGTAGCTGTCAACGGAGGGACAGAAATCACCCAGATTTCATTAAAAATATCTTCATTTGTGTTCTGAAGATGAACGAAAGACAAGTCTTACGGGTTTGAAACGACACAAGTGTGAGTAAATGGTGACAGAATTTAAATTTTTGGGTGAACTATCCCTTTAAATTATTGCATAACACTAGGTTTAATTAATAATAAAAACAAATGAATAATAAAGATAATAGCCTAATTATAATGTATTATTCCATTAATAACAATATAATAATAAATCATACAAATAAAAAAAATATATATTAAAATAATTAAATTAAAAAAAATACAAAATACGAAATACATAGCCTATATGCATACACGTTTGGTTTAGGCGAAATATGTGTAGTTTTAAATCTATAATAAAATGCCACAGTAAAAAGGATATGTTGCATCTGGTGGCCTTAATTTATATTATTTTATTTCCTCAGTGGGCGGAGAAGATTAACTAAAATAACCTTTGAAACTCTCTGTAAGCCTGAAGGAACTCAATAGGGTTCTGATTGTGTCACTCAAATCCTCCAGCACCCTTTGTGATTTGCATAATGAGTTGGCTATAAATAATGCTCCCTCTCACAATGTCGCTCCCCGTTTGGGACAGTTCCTGAAGAGAGAAACGGTTCTCTGAACTACTACAGATATTAAAGTTCACGATGTCTACCTCCTCCTACAGAAAGCGTTTTGGAGACGTGAGCCGGAGCAGCGCGTTCTCCAGCCGTCAGACCTCCAGTTCCGTGCGCTCGCGGGTGTCCTTCGGCGTCTCCTCGGCTCCGGTCATTTACGCGTCCAAGAGCTCCAGAGTCCGAAGTAGCGTGGGGATGCCACGACTGACCTCGGAGACTGTGGACTTTAGTCTCTCGGACGCCTTAAACACGGAATTCAAGGCGAATCGGCTCAGTGAAAAGGCGCAGATGCAGTCACTGAACGACCGCTTCGCCAGTTACATCGAGAAGGTGCGTTTCCTGGAGCAGCAGAACAAGATCCTGAGCGCGGAGCTGGAGCAGCTGAGGGGCCAGAGATCGTCCAGCATCGCGGATCTGTATGAGGAGGAGATGCGCGACCTGAGGCGACAGGTGGACCAGCTCATCACGGAGAAAACACGCGTGGAAGTCACGCGAGACAACCTGGCAGAAGACATGGAGCGTCTCAGAGAGAAGTATGGCAAACATTCACAAAATATTTGGGCACGTTAATGTGTGAATGGCATTGCATTAGGTCATACAGCATACCAAGTGGTATATAATACCAAGGTACCACTGGTATCTGCAGCAGTGTTGGGGGTAACGTGTCACAAATATACTTTATGTATTTAATCTCACTTTAATAACCAAATCTTCTCTGCTAATATAACAGAAGGCTGATTTTATTAAAAACATCCCATTCTAGGGCCTTTACCCTGATTATATGCAAAATAGCATTGATAGAGAGCAAGATGTTTTTTTGGGTAACAAAATTCAAAATAACAATTTTACATTTAACATATATAAAGGAGTTTGTGTACTATAAGAACCCCCTTCTTTTAGTAAGTGTGCAATTCTTTGCAACAAATCAACATTACATGAATTAAAATTATCAATATTTTTTGTAATTGCACACAGTGAGTGACCTCATGCATCAGGATATTGTGCAGTGCATAGTGAAAGGTCTAGCCTCGTGAGACCATCCTGATCTCGCGAGCTTTCAAGGTTTCACTCGCAGATCAGTCTGGATACTTTCCGTTAAAGAAAATTTGGGAGCAGTTCACCAAACGAACGTCCAATCAGCGTTGGCTTTGAGGCGGGTTGAGGTGTGACGCAACGAGAAGCGCGTCAGTTCAGTCTAAAGAACATGTCGGCTTCAGCGGATGAAACTAGCATCAGCGTGGCTATCGAGCAAGTTTTATCGGAATTACAGAGTATTTCTTCACTGAAAGAAGAGCAAAACACTGCTCTGGAGGCTTTTCTCAGAGGAAAAGATACGCTCTGTTAGTACGTCATATGCTTCGTTGATCTGATTGGTTGATTTGGCCCGTCTATCACCAACATAGGCCAATCAGCTAACCAGTATTTTCGCCCCTTACCAAAACTACTTCAACGGAAGGTTTCCAGATGGATATGCGGAGCAAATCCATCTGGCGGAGTCAGGTTATGAAAGGTCAGGGTTCAGGGAAGTTCTGTGGTGGTGTTTGCTTTTTAGTGGAAAATATAAAATCAATTTTGCTTTTTACCTTGGGGGGTCTTTAGCCTTGTTGTACCCTCTGCAGAATGAAGACAAAACCTTTTGGAAACTTTGCGGTTGTCAAAGCATCTAGCTCTAGCATCATTTGTTTGCATATGCCACTTGTTATATTATTTTGTGGTCGAATGCAATGAAAATAACCTCAAGTGTGCAGTGTGTGGGTTTTTTTTTGCCAGAGTATTGCTTATGAGAACATTCAGAGTCATTATTGAGAAGCTAAATGTTGTATAATTCACTAAATCAACTAGTGAAATTAATGTTTAGAAATATTTTGAATTGGTGAATATTTTTAAATAAACCAAGGTGTTTTCTTATTGATGTGTCATTTACAGACTGCAGGATGAGATTCTTCAGCGAGAAGATGCAGAGAACAGCATGAGAAGTTTCAGACAGGTAAAGCACGATTGTATAACTATTACTATATTATTTCACATGGCAGTGTTTAAAGGCCCACTAAAGTGCCTTGAAACGTGCAGCATTATTCATTGTGTCGACGTAGTTCTTTCACGGAACAGTGAGAGAGCAATCAAGCACAGAATGAGTTTTAAACAGTTTATTGAGACACACAGCAGGCAGGACAAGATATGGTGGGACAAAGGGTGAACACAATCCAACAGAAGGCAAGGAATGAAGCACAAAGACCAACTTGACTTGACCCACACAACAGGAAATGTAGACAGGAACAACATACAATGAAATCCACAACTGGAACAATGAGCATGAAAGCAAATGAGGCAATAAGTAACAATGAACTGGCAAATCATGAGGGAAAGAGAACACAATAAATAGGGAGCAGAGAACATGAGGAACAGGTGAGCACACTCAGAGCAATGAAGACTTAACTAGGGCTTAAACAAGGGCGTGTGGTAACAGAGGCCAACACAAACAGAGCCAGAGCAATGTGCTCAAGCACAAAACAAACAAGGAAACATTGAACCAAGGTAAGAAAGAAAGAACAGACAGATGAGAACCCTCACAATATCCTGATATATCGAACAGCTCCTCCCCTTTTTTAAAATAGCCAATAGCATTTTGTTTATATCACAGCTCGGCCAGAGCTGTTGAGCTTGGTAAAGCCGCAGTTTTCTCCTATAATCTCGAACCGTTTCTCCTCCTTATCTCCTCCATATCACTTTAGCATTCTGTACAGAATTCAAAGGATCCGATACATTTTCTGGTATACGCCGACTCGCGCATATGATCTGCTCTGTGCTATCGTGTCTCGCTGTTCGCGTGACACTAACGTGAAACCAGACTTCATTCGCCCCAATGAGAAGCATACTTCCCTATCCCCTATATAGTGCACTATGTGCCATCACTATGTAGAAAATAGTAAATGTGTGAACAAGTGACCGATTTTAGCCGTAGCTTCAGCGTCTATTTCTAATGTAGCTTCAGATTCTAGAGAGCATTTGATTGGATAGAAAATGTGATGAGAAGCTGAAGTGCAGAAAGATGTCATCAAAATTATTGATCCATATTGGCAAAAGTGAGAGACTGTAAGTTTTTGAATGCTTATCTTCTAAATGCGAATTCTGTAATTGTTTTTGAGCACACTAGCTTAGATAACAGTACATACTAAAATAAAATAAAAACTCCATGTCTAACTTTAAAAGATTCTGCAATTTTGTTAGATAGACCAGTAAAAAAAAAGAAAAGAAATTGTGCAAGAAAGTATTTCATGAGGCCTTCGCTGATGAATAGAGCTGAAGATGTTATCACTACTGCTGTTTAAGAAGTATGGTTAAACTTGTTGCAACATTTAAGAGAAGCAAGACTAGTTTTCATTATGTAGATGTAAAAAATTGAGCAACATTGAGCAAAAAATCGTTTTTATTTGCAGATGACTCAGCTATTTTAGTCTCTCATAAAGACAAATCAGAGGTGGAAAGGCTGCTTAGTTCAGAACTCCTTAACCTCAGTGTTTGGCTAACAGACAACAAGCTGTCTCTCCACCTTGGCAAAACAGAGTCAATTCTTTTTGGGTCCAGAGATAAACTGAAAAAGGCTATGGGGTTTAGGGTAGTCGTAGGTGATGTTGAAATTACAGCCAAGGAAGCAGTTACTTACTTGGGCTGTATACTAGATAATAAAGTATCAGGGGAGCTTATGGCCCGAAAAATTATCTCAAAGGTAAGCCAAAGGACTAAGTTCCTGGCAAGAATATCCAGCCTCTTAGATAGTAAAACCTTAAAAATCCTGGCCGATGTGCTTGTTCAATGTCATCTTGACTATGCCTGTACATCTTGGTATACAGGACTTAATAAAGGCCTTAAAGACAAGTTACAGATCTGTCAAAATAAACTAATCAGAGTGATCCTTAAATTACATCCTAGAACTCATCTTCTTCCTGACTATTTCTCCAGTATTGGGTGGCTCAGAGTGGAGGAGAGGGTTTCTCAACTAAAACTGTGTTTAGTTTATAAGATAAGAAATAATCTGGCACCCAAGTATTTATGTGATTACTTTTCAAAAATTAGTGATACACACAACTACTGCACCAGGGGGAGTTCCACAGATTACAGGCCCTGCCGTTTTAAGAGCTGTGTGGGAAAGTATTCTTTCCTATACTCTGCAGCTGTCTTGTGGAATGGTTTACCTTGTGGAATGGTTTACCTTTAAACCTTAAACTGTTGAGCTCTTCCTATTATCATTTTAAATCTTCAATAAAAAATTGGTTGTTAAACCTTTAAAAAAAAAAAAAAAAAAAAATAGAGATAAGGAAAGAGAAATAGAAATCCTTGAAGTAGTAGGAATACTGTACTGTCCGCTTGTGTGTCTGCTTGCGTCTATCTGGGAATTTAGCCCTTGTTTTTTTTATTTTTATTGTGTTTTTATCTGTTTTACTTTGTTTGTATTTTTTTGTCCCCTTTCTTTATTGTTCTCAATGTTTTTAAATTCATGTATTGTCACTTATCTTCCATCTTAAGGACCACAATGGAAACAAGCCTTTGGGCTTTTTGTGTTTTATCCTTTTGAACACTTCATGTTGATTGTTGTTGTTCAATAAAGTTTTCAATCAATCAATCAATCAATCAATCAATCAATCAATCAAAACATAGAATGAGATGAATTGATAAAATTGTGTAATTTCTGCATCTGGGTGGATGACTGAGCTCTCACACGATAATCTACACACCATTCAAAGGTTTGGGGTCTTTAAGATATGTATTTATTTTTTTGAAAGAAATTAATTTATTTATTCTGCAAGGATGCATTGAATTGATCAAAAGTGACAAAGGCATTTACTGATTTCGATTTCAAATAAATGCTGTTCTTTTGAACTTTCTATTCATCAAAGAATCCTGACAAAGTATATCATTCAACAAAATCTCCACAAACATATGAAGCAGCACAACTGTTTTCAACATGGGTAATAATAAGAAAAGTTTCCTGAGTATCAAATCAGCATGTTAGAATAATTTCTGAAGGATCATGTGGCACTGAAGTAATGATGCTGAAATTCAGCTTTGATCACAGGAATAAATTATATTTGAAAACATATCAAAACAGAAATCGGAGTTATATTTCAAAATATCAGTGTTTTTACTGTATTTTGATCAAATAAATGCAGCCTTGGTGAGCATAAGAGGCTCAAGGAACAATGTGTATGAAACCAAACTTAATAGCCTGGTTTCACAGACAGGGCTTAGATTAAGACAGGCTTTGACTTTAGTTTAATTAGGGCATTCAAATAGCTTTTATAAATGTGTCTTAGAAAAAAATATGACTGGTGTGCATCTTGAGACAAAACAATGATATTTTAAGATTTGTCGGTGCAAGTTTCTTTCAGTTAAAACAGCTCAAACATGCATTTAGTCTGGGACTATAGGCTTAAACCAGGGGATAAAGTTATAAAGAATTGTACTCATAATCTTTTAGCTAAATTCCCTAAAATCCTTACAAGGGGTGGTATGACCAAACTAATGTACTACTGCTGCTTGCAACACATTTTCTCCATTTAATCACAGAAACAAACAAGTGTTTAGTTTGGGAACCGTGATAGAGATTCTGGTTTGGGTCTGTGTTTGAGGAATGGCTCTGTGTGGCATGTCGAGCTCAGAGCTGAATGTCTTTGTCTCTGGCATTAGCGCTGGGAAATCTCCACCTCTGCCGATTGCTCTTCCAGCAGACCCTGACAAAGCAAACTGTTGTGTCTGAACTGGCTGCCAAGGGCAGGAATGCCTGGATGTGTGTGTGTGTGTGAGAGAGAGAGAGAGAGCACGTGTCAAGCTTAAAAACAGTGTGAGTGTTAATAAAGCCCTGTTTACGGGTCGTCCCGTCAGCAGACATCCAAATGGTGCCACACAGACTGCAGGGCATTGTGCCTGGCCCAGATACTCATTAAGACACAAAGACCTCTTCACTGTGTGCATCTGTGCTCAATACAGTAGTGCCGCTGTGTCATTATAATGTTGTTAATGTCGTGCAGGACGTGGATAACGCTGCTCTTGCTCGAGTGGATCTGGAGAGGAAGGTGGAGTCTCTCCAGGACGAACTCGCCTTCCTGAAAAAGCTCCATGATGAGGTGAGATACACTGTCAGTTTTTATTTCCTCAGACTAAGGCAAACTTCTGCTTTAACTCACAGTAAAAGGCATTAAATGACAGATCAATGCATCTTCTTCTTACCACCGCCACACTCTCAACTAGTGATAGACTGAATAAGCAACCAATATTTTGCACATATTTTACAGTGATTGTACTCTAATTACCGAATAAGCATAATCACATAACCAGAGTATTCTATATGAGCTCCAACTTAATTGCAGTGACTGTCTTGGTCATGTTATAGGGGAGCACGTAAATGTTGCCATTGAATCTAATCTAATCTTTTTTAATAAGTGTTTATGAATTTTTAATATTGTGAAAAATAGGTGTTCATGTAATTTTCACAATTTTCTGTATGTCTAATTTGCTATCATTAAACTATATTATGTATATATTAAATTAAAGAAATACAATTATTATAATACAATTAATAATTATTCTTAACAAATGTATTATATTAAATTACATTATATTATATTATAATCTTAGTGATCAGGCAGTTAGGAATTGATTATTATTTTATGATTCTTTTTGTTTCTTAAATCTTTTTTATGCAAAGCACATTAAAGTAAACTTATATTATATTGAATTATATTATATTATAATGAATGTTTCTAAAAGTCCAGGGATTTAGATTTAGTCACAATCAATTGGAAAGCATTGTTTATCTTAGAGACCTCTGTGTACTAAAACGTCGTTTTAATCTATTAATTCCAAGGCATCATACTTGTCATACAAATGTAAATGCATTACAGCATTATCTATACAATTAAATAATAAAATGACTGTTTGAATGAGAAGTACCAAATGACAAAAACCATCTACAGTATGTGTGCTGTTTCAACTGCATAGCAACACCCTGGCAACCGTGCACAACACCCTGGCATTATGGCGACACGATTTGCACATGCAAAAGCTACTCAAAATGTCAAAATTTGGCTCTGTTTTTATGATCACAACACAAGAAAATGGGTATGACAGATGCTTTTCAGAAAGCACACAGTCTGGAATCTCTCTCTCTCTCTCTCTCTCTCTCTCTCTCTCTCTCTCTCTCTCTCTCTCTCTCTCTCTC